TGATTTAAATCTAATAGCTGCTCCTCCGAAACCCTGTGCAGGGTTGCCATGAGTCAGAACTTACTCGATGACACTTAACAACAACACCTTTTAAGTCAGAGTTGTGAAGATTAAATTAACTCAGTAGGTGAAATGCTTAGCACAGGGCTGAGCACAAAAACTCACTGTTCATTTCTCTCCTCGCTTGCTTTCTCTGCACAGATAAGGAAGAAGGGTCTGATGATGTACTTCTAAAAGTTAGCCAATAAAAACCCCATGGAACACAAAGGTCTGGTCTGGCCTGTCTTGAATCATTGGGATGACGGAGGACTAGGGCAGTGTTTTGTTCATTTGTGCACGGGGCCATCATGAGTCAGGGCTGACTATTGTGTACACAGTTGCTTTGACTCAGAGTGACCTGAGGCACAACCGAATGACCCACGGCTGTCCTGTACCCCCCTCACAATTGCTATGTTTGAGCCAATTCTTGCTGTCACTGTGTCATCCCATCACATTGGAGGTCTTCCTCTTTTTCTCTAAACTGACTAGATGGCAGCTAGTAACAACAACATTGTCTTCTAGAGCAAGATACTGCAGGGAGCTCTGCACAGGTTCCAGTGCAAACACGGACCACTCAAAACCACTTGTTATTCACTAGGCGAATCCTTCCCAGAAACTGAAACCAGGGGACCTGAAGCTCACAAGGAAAATGCTGTCTGGACTATCAGCTCAGATCATGTTCATTCTGATCACAGGCTCAGCCAACCACAGTCCATGTGCTTCCTCACCTGACAACAGGAAAGACCAGAGAGGCTGAATTTATTTAAAGAAAATAGGGAGATGACTGCAGAATGTCTTCCTAGCCTCGCTATCTGGAAGATTAAGCATATCCTTGCAAAGCTAATGACATGTGCTTATTGCAAAGTTAATGGCTTATAACCGTGCCTTCCATTTATCTAGCTCTTTGACTTTTAAAGAATCCTAATCCACTTTATACACCAGGCAAATTACATATCTCTTTAGATGCATTATATATATATATGTGTGTGTGTGTGTGTGTGTGTGTGTGTGTATAATGCAGATTAACTGTTGCTTGTTTCCCATCTTTAAATAACCCATGAAATGAGGAGTTGATATTTGGGGGACATCTCAAATGTGCTTGGATGGGATGATTTTGGCGTATTTTGAAGGAGCTATCATGGGAGTCCTAGTGTGGTGCTGTGGGTTAATGCGCCAGACTGCAAAGCCGTTTGAACTGCAAGGTCAGCAGTTCAAGCTCACCAGCTGCTCCTTGGAAACCCTAAACAGGGTCGCTATGGGTTGGAACAACAGCATGAACCTAGTTTTATTTAAATTCATTGTTCTAATTGTTGTCTCTTCTCGGGGCAGTTCCCACCTGCTACCCATCTTTTGAATACATCTCAGAATTCTCCCATTAGTTCAATCTGCTTCTCTGATAACAACACCTTGCATTTCTCTAGCACCTTGCAGATTTACAAACATGTTTGCATTCATTATTTCAGCCAGTCCTCACAAACAGGGCACATATATCATGATTCCATTTAGCAGGCTCAGTTCACTGACCTGTAATGTAAGAGGGCGCTTTTGAGATCAAGGTGTCTCCCTCCGCGTTGTTGTTGTCATTGTTAGTTGCTGCAAAGTCCATGTGTGAAGAGTAGAACTGCTCCATAGGGTTTTCAAGACTGATATCTCATAAACAGATTTCCTCTGAGGCACCTCAGGCAGATTGAAACCGCCAACCTTTCAGCTATGAACCACGACCTTCTACTTTACCAAACATGATCTCCTTCTTCAGTGGCTGGTCCTTGCGGACAATATGTCTGAAGTATGAGTGACGAGCACTACATATTAAGTAGATGAGCACTTAACTCTTTGTGCCATCCAAGGATTCCTTTCTCTTTTTCACTAGTGAGAAATCTGGGTCTCAGAGAGGATGGGAGAGCTCTACACTGTCATATGGATGACCAAACCAGTGAAGAAAAAGAGACACCAAAGCTTGTGGTCCCAGTCTGGACTCCTCCTCAGTTTTTTGCTGTCACCTGGACAAACTGTACCTTTTACTTGGCTTTGAGCAGTCCTGACTGCTTACAGGAGAATCAGCTCATGGAGTTGATAATACAGTTTCGGGGACTACACCCAAGACTGCATGTGGGTTCAGAAATCTGAATTTCAACTGCTTTCCTGTCATTCTTCTGTCCAGGGAAGTGTGAGCTGCTGGCAGATTGGATTGAAGCTCTGTGGATGTTGTTGTTGTTGTTGTTAAATGCTGTCAGGGTGATTCTGACTCATAGCGACCTTGTATAGGTTTGCTGTACAAAGGCTGTATATCTTTGCAGGAGCAGGAAGCCTCATCTTTCTCCTGAGGAGTGGCTGGTGGGCTTGAACCGCTAACCTTGTGGTTCGCAATCCAGTGCTTATTCTACAGAAGCTCTGTGGATAGGAACGTCTTTGTACGTGATGTCTTGAGGCTCATGGGCTCTGTGGTGAACCCCTCATCCATAACTGGGTGATTGCTGGACATCTCATGCATTTCATCTTCCTGACACTTTCCATCTCCAGGCACTTTTACATCCTGGTGCGGAGCTGTAGGAACAGCACTGGACTGTGAACCACAAGGCCATGCTTCAGCAGTTCAAATGCACCAGTTGCTCGGAAACCTCATACAGGGTCGCTATGAGTCAGAACTGACTTGATGGCACTTAACAATTACAATTCGTTTAGGAGAGTTACATCTCCTCCAGGAGGGATGGTATGTTCTGATTTTCTGGAGCAATACAGCTGTTCACACCATGATCTAGGAGGGCTTGGTAGGAAACAACCCAGAGTTGCATCCTTGTCCCAGTCTGCTATGGGACTCTAGAGTCTAGACAAATTGACTTATTTTTTTGGACTCGTTTTCTTCATCTGTCACACAACTGACAGGGATTGCTAAGGTGATGTTACAATAGACGTTATTTATGTAATGCTTTCCAGAAGCCAGGCTCCACATTAAGCATGTTAACTCACTACCTTATTTAATTTTCATAACAAAGCTGTGAATTAGGGATCACCAGTCCCATTCTAAAGGAGCTCTGGTTGTTGTTGTTGTCATCAAGTGCCATCGAGTTGGTTCCGACCCATAGCGAACCCATATAGGGTTTCTGAGGAGCATCTGATGAGCTTGAATCACTGACCTTGCAGCACTAACTGACTTTGCAGTCCAGCACATGAACCCACAGCGCCATACCAGGACTCCTACAAATGGAATGCTTTGCGAATTTACGTGTCATCCTTGTGTAGGGGGCCATGTTAATCTTCTCTGTATCGTTCCAATTTTAATATGTGTGTGGTGAAGTGGATTACAAACTGGGCTGCTAACCTCAATGTCAGCAGTTCAAATCTACCAGTCGTTCCACAGGAGAAACATGAGGCTTTCTCCTCCCGTAAAGATTTACAGCCTCAGAAACATTATACAGGATCGCTGTGGGTTGGAACAGACTCGGTGGCATACAACCACCAGCAGCACCATTCTAGAGATGAGGAAACTGAGAGCTGAGAGCCAAGCTGGGCCCTTTTCCTTTACTGTCCTATTAGACCTTCTATGAGTCCATGAATGATGCAGTTAACACATTTGGCTGCTAACCAATAAGAAAGGTTCCAGTCCATGCAGAGATGCCTCAGAAGAAAGGCATGGTGATCTACTTCTGAAAAAGCAGCCACTGAAAATCTTACGAAACCAGCAGTACTCTGACACACACGGGGTTGCCATGAGTCTGCCTCGACAACTGGTTTTTATTTTCTTTGCCACCTTTATGCTGACCTCGGATTGCTCAGTGACATGTTTATGATGCTGCTGTGAACTTGGCACTGTACTATGCTGGGGTAGACTTATAAGGGGCTCCTGGCAGGGCTGACTCAGTAGCAGTCAAAAGTGGAGGATGACCCCGAATGCAACAAAGGAGGCTGGGCTGTCCAACAGCACCAGCATTTAGGTCAAAGCACTTAGGGTGGCTGTACGTACGATTAGTTCATGTAGGCATACACCAGGGGTTAGGGCAGCTTGACTACCAATTTGTTTCTCTCAAATGACCAATGTATGTCAGACCCCATTCCTCGTGCTTTTATGTGTCACCTTTTCTAATCCTAAAATGGTCTCTAAAAGCCAGTGTGGACTCTGAAGCCTGGTGAGATAAACAGCTTTTCAAGTTTTTTATACGGAGTCCTGGTATGGCGCTGTAGGATAAGCACTCAACAAGGTCAGTGGTTCAAATTCACTAAGCACTCTTTGGACATCTTATACAGGGTCGCTATGAATTGGAACTGACTTGACGACACTTAAAAAGCTCTTGTTGGAGTCTGTGGGTGGTGCAAACAGTTAATGCAGTTGGCTGCTAATTGAAAGGTTGAGATTTGAGTCCACTCAGAGATACCTTGGGAGAATGAGCTACTTAAAAAAATCCAGTTTGAAAACTCTGTGGAGTCCAGTTCAAGTCTGACATACATTGGGTCATGATGAGTCCGTATGTATTCATGTGCAACTGGCTTGATTAAGTTCTTATAACTGGCAAAGATAAGGCTCAAATATTTGATGAACATTGATGTTGCTGCATTTGGGATGTATCACCCTATAATTCCTGTGAGAAGCCCATGGGGTCAAGTGCAAAAGTGTTCACTGTGGTTGGGCCCAAACCAAACCAGTTAACAGCTAGTGGACTCAGAGTAGAAGCATGCTGTATAGGCTTTGAACAGCTGTGATGTTTCAGAAGTAGATTGCCAGGCCTTTCTTCCAAGGTGCCTCTGGGTAAATTCCAACCTCCAACCTCTCAGTTAGCAGTTAGACATTTTGTTGAACCATCCATTGACCCTTGTGGCCAGCCAGTCTCTTTAAAGTTTTTATTTACATGCAGTGTTGCCGTTATCTCTTCTCCAGTGTGCAGCGAGACGAGGCTACTACGGGGTCCCAGTCAATGCTGGGTGTCAGTTCCTTCTTTAACACCGGGTTCTCTTGTTTTCCTCCACAGAGGGGCACAACTGAGCCGTTCCTGAGGCTCCATAACTTGTACACCAGCCCGAGGTGTGCGCGGCAGGCCGCCCTGCCCAGGGTGAATGGCAGGATCGTCAGCCAGCACTCATACCCACTGAACCGCTTCTCCTCGGTGCCCTTGGATGCCATGGAGCGCCCCACCTCCCAGGCCGATCTGGAGCTGGATTACAACCCACCCCGGGTCCAGCTCAGCGACGAGATGTTCGTCTTCCAGGACGGGCGGTGGGTGAACGAGAACTGCCGTCTGCCGTCTCCTTACTTCTCGCCATCCTCCTCCTTCCACCACAAGCTGCATCACAAGCGCATGGCCAAGGAGTACCTGTTGCAGGAAGAAAACAAGTCCCTGCGTGAGGAGAACAAGGCGTTGCGCGAGGAGAACAGGGCCCTCCACAAGGAGAACAAGATCTTGCAGGCCTTCTGGGAGGAGCACAAAGTCACGCTGGGCCTCCAGGACAGCAGGACCTCCCCACCACCACCGCACAAGGACAACGGGACCCTCGAGGTGGTGAAGAAGGACAACGCCACCCTGCAGGTGAACCGCAGCAAGGAGGGCAACACCCTGCAACTCCTCCGAGAGGAGAACCGTGCCCTACAGCAGCTGCTGGAGCAGAGGAAGGCCTACTGGGCGCAGGCGGAGGACAAGGCAACCCCTGCCGAGGAGAACAAGGTGGCCACCTCGCCCCACAGCGAGCCCCACAGCCCCGGGCTACTGCCCGAGCAGGCCACGGGCCTCTCCTCGCCCTTCGAGGAGCCCAAAGGGCACCCGGGCCCGCAGGATGACTCCAAGACTCTCCGTGTCCTGCGCGAAATGGTCAGCAACCTGGCGAGCGCCTCCGGTGAGGAGGAAGGGAGCCAGGGCTCCGGGGGCCTGCAGGCCGAGGCCCAGACCCTACAGCTGCTGCGGGAGATGAACCAGGCTCTGCAGGCCCTGCGCGAGGAGAACCAAAACCTGCATGTCCTCCGTGAGGAGAACCGGCTGCTGCAGGAGGAGAACCGGGCACTACACGTGCTGCGCGAGGAGCACAGGGTCTTCCAGGAGGAGAACAAGGCCCTGTGGGAGAACAACAAGCTAAAACTGCAGCAGAAGCTGGTCATCGACACGGTGACCGAGGTCACTGCGCGGATGGAAATGCTCATTGAGGAACTCTACGCCTTCATGCCGGCCAAGACCAAGGACCCCAAGAAGCCCAGCAGGGTCTGAAGCCTCCGTGGCGCGCAGGGGCACTGAGCTTGGGGCCTGGGAAACACAATCTCCCTCCAGTATGTTCCCCTCGCCTTCCCCCGAAAGTTCGTGCCTGTTGAAGAGCAGAATTATTGTCCTCCCTAATCTCAGGGAAGTAATAAAGGCGTGAGGAGGCGGGGACAGTCAACATCAGTGGACTGTGGACTTTGCTTCTCCCACCTCTTGTTTTTGTTTCACCTCTTGTCTCTTCCGTCAACTTGCATTATTGTCTCTGTTTTCTCTTGCCCTTTCTCTCTTCTTTCTTCTTTTTCTCTTCCTGCTCTCCTCTTTTTCCTACTAACTTTCTGCTCATCATTTTCCATTTCTAAGGGGTACGAGTAGGCCTATGGGTGAAATCACGCTAATCTTTGATATTGTTGTTGTTAAGTGCCGTGGAGTCGCTTCTGACTCATAGTGACCCTGCACAGGGTTTCCGAGGCTGTAAATCTTTACGGGAGCAGAAAGCCCTATCTTTCGCCTGCGGAACAGCTGGTAATTTCGAATTGCTGACCTTAAGGTTCACAGCTGAATTTGTAACCACTAAGGAGTAAAGATTTACACCCTCGGAAACCCTGTACAGGGTCGCTATGGGTCGGAATCGACTCGACGGCACTTAACAACAACAACAACAAGGAGCTCCAGTACCCTAGTCGTTACGAATCAAGCTGCGAACCACAAGGGTCAGCAGTTTGAAATTACCAACTTGTCCGCATGAGAAAGATGAGGCTTTCTGCTCCTGTAAAGATTTACAGCCTTGGAAACCCTGTGCAAGTTTTCTATGAGTTGGAACCGACTCCACTGCATATAACCACCACTATGTTACCAGAGCTCCTTACTCTATGGCACATAACAACATTGACATTTTACAGTACTGGTGTGGCACTGTAGCATAAACAGTAGACTATTAACTGTAAGGTTGGCGGTTCATACCCACCAACCACTCCTCAGAAATCCTATACGGGGTCACTATGAGTCAGAATTGACTTGACAACAACATTGTCATTTTGGGCTGGATAACATTTGGTGTGGCACTGTGGGGCTGTGCATCAGCATTGGACTGGCATTTCAAACCCACCAGCTGCTCCTCGGAAGTCCAGGGTTGCTATGAGTCAGAAATGACTTCATGGCACTTAACAACAATTCTGGTGTGGAGGCATGTCTTGCGCATCATAGGATACTTAGTCACTGGAGAAGGATATCATGCTTGGGTAGGGTGGAGGGTCAGAGAAAAAGAGGAAGACCCCCAACGAGATGGATCAGCCAGGTGGCATCATTGATGGCGTCAAGTGTGGCAGTGGTAGTGAGGTTGGCTCAGGATAGGACATTGTTTCATTCTGCTGTACATGGGGTCTCTATGAGTCGGTTCCGACTCGATGGCACCTGACAACAACAACAACATGGAGTCCTTGGAAGTCCCTGAGTGGGAGAAGTGGTTAAGCTCTTGGCTGTTAACTGAGAGTGTTAGGTTTGATCCCACCTAGCAATACCTCAGAAGAAAGACCTAGCTATCTACTTCCCAAACATCAGCCATTGAAAGCCTTATGAAGCACAGTTCTACTCTGACACACATGAGGTTGTCATGAGTTGGAATTGATTCTATAACAATTGGTATTGAGCACCCAGTTTGGGAAGGGCTGTTCTGCACTCTCCCTGACCTAGGTTCACCTCCCTACTCCAGGGTTCACGTTATTTCCTCTTGGTGCACATTTCCCAATGGTTTGCAAGGGTTGGGGTTCCTCTTGACTGAAGGAAGATGGGAGAGGCTTATGATTTGGAGTTCTTGGCTTTGGCTCCATTTCAAAGTTGGATATGCTTTAGATCCAAGAGGTTGGAAGCTGGCCTCAGTAACTGTAGAGTTGAGCAGTAATTTCCAGACTTTGCTACATAATGGAATTATTCTAGGGTCTTCGAAAGATACTTATGCTTGGACCTCATCCCAGATGTCTGAATTTTTGGTATTGGGTGCTACCTGGGCCCTGGGATGTTTCAGTTCCCCAGGTCATTCCAATATGCAGCACAGTTTGGGACCTGTAGTGCTGCAGGTTAATGTGCTGGACAGCAAAGCTGGCTTGATCCGCATCGTCAGTGGCTCAGCTCACCAGCCACTCCTTGGAAACTCTATACAGGGTCGCTATGGGTCAGGACTGACTCAGGGTCAGGACTGACTTGGCATTTAACAACATAATCGGAAAAAGGGTTTTGGTATGGCACTATTGGACTGAAAGTACTGGACTGAAAGGTCTGTTGAACTGAAAGGTCGGTGGTTCAAACTCAGCAGCCACACCTTGGAAACCTTATACTGCTGGGTCATTATGAGTCAGAATGGAGTTCTGGTGTGGTGCTGTGGGCTAATGCATCAGACTGCAAAGTCGTTTAAACTGCAAGGTTGGTGGTTCAAGCTCACCAGCAGTTCCTTGGAAACCCTATACAGTGTCGCTATGGGTCAGAATCGACTCAACGGCACTTAACAACAACTACATGAGTCAGAACAGACTAGATGGCACTTAACAACAACAACATCAACATAATAAGGAGAACTTCTAGTGTGGCACTGTAGGATCAACACTGGACAGCGAACCACAAGGTCCGAAGTTCAAACCCACCAGCTAGCTGCTCCTCAGAAACCCTATACATAGTTGCTAAGAGTCGGAACCAACTTGATGGCACTTGACAATAACAACATGATAGGGTGAGTGGAGCCCACTGATTGTCAATAAAATGTCACATCCATCAGTAACTGGTAGAAATGGACAGGCATTCATGAGGGAAAAGAGTTCATTCATTTTGCTGATGGACAAACTGTTGCATTGCGATAGATTCAATTTTGAGTCTGGGATGTCCTTACTCATTCAGTGAGCCCTGGTGGTCCGTTGGTAAAGTGCTCAGATCCTAACTGAAAGGTTGGCAGTTCAAACCTACCAGCCATTTAACAGGAGAGAGAGGTGGCAGCCTGCTCCTCAAAATACTACAGCTTTTGAAATCTTATGGGGCAGTTCTACCCTGCCTTGTAGGGTCACCGTGAGTCAGAATGGGCTCAAGGTCTATTATTCATGCTGGCTACATTTTTAAGACTTGAACAAGTTCTGGGAAGTGACACAGAGGTATTCACTTTTTACTTGATCCTCAGAACCTTGTGAAGTGGCCCTTATTATTTTTACTACAGTTGTGAAAACTGGAATCTAAGTGAACTTGCCAGAGGCTTGTCAGCTAGTAAAAGCCCAGCTAGGAAGGACTTGAACACGGATCAGAGAACCCCAGATCTCAAACTCTATTAGATCAAGTAATCTTGGTCTTCAAAAGTGGAATTAAAAAGAAAAAAAAATTTTCCCCTTTGTTTTCCAGATTTAGGAACTTGTCAGGTCTTCTTCAAAATGGTGATGTGGTGGTTTTGTGCTACCGAGTTGGTTCTGACTCATAGCGACCCTATAAAGGGTTTCCAAGGCTGCACATCTTTACGGAAGCAGAAAGCCTCCTCTTTCTCTGGAGGAGTGACTGGTAGATCCCAGCTACTGACTGTGGTTAGCAGCCCAGCTCACAATTCACTATGTTACCAGGGGCCCTTCTATTTAAAAAATGGCACCAGATAGTGCACCTCAGGGAGAATAAAAGGAATTGGAGTATTTCATCAGTGTGTCCTGACTCCTGAAGACAAAGCTCCCCACACATGCAGTCTGTATATGAGAGAGAGTACAAGGTGACAGATGCAAACCCAGAGATCCAGCCATTCTTTCCCTGTCCCCATCAAATCTGAAAAATGAAAAGTTGTCACTGAAGGGCCTCTGTGTCTTGGCAGCTTTTACCTTCTGAACCTGGTGAATGCATCATTCAGGGCATCACGAAATACCATACTCTTGTCTAAGTCAGTTAAAAACCTCAGGAGGTATTTTAGGGTTGTTGGTGTTTCTTGAAACCAAATTGATTTCCGAGACTCTAAACAACTTGGCCAACAGAAGGTCTACTCTTCAAGTTTGTGTTACAAATATTTACCTTGGATGAATCCACATTAGAGTGGTAGGATACTTCTGGCATGGGGAGGGAACCCAGAGGACCTAATACTATTTTACAGTGTCTACTTCTGCTGTATAAGGAGCACTGGTAGCGTAATGATTACAAAACAGGTTGCTAACTTCAGGGTCAGTAGTTTGAAACTACCAGCTGTTCTGTGGGAGATAGATGAGGCTTTCTGCTCCCTAAAGATTTACAGCCTTGGAAACCCTGTACAGGGTTGCTATGAGTCGGTTCCGACTCCACGGCACTTAACAACAACAACAACTTGTGCTGGACTGCAAAGTCAGCTTTAACTGCAAGGTCGGTGGTTCAAGCTCACCAGCTGCTCCTCGGAAACCTTATACAGGGTCTCTATGGTTGGAACTGACTTAACGGCACTTAACAACAACAACTTTCTCCATGAGGCAGAATCTAAATGGGTAACAGATGACCAAAACAAGCCATAAAATGTCACTTTTATGGAGTGGGGAGATTTACTTCAAAACCATTTTTCATCGTATAGTGCAATCTGCTATAGATGAGCTGCTCTTTGAGTGGGCTCTTACGTCCTACAGAACAATGAACTTTCATTCTTCAAGGAGAAGCCCCTGTCAGTACTGCGGCTCCTTTTCTAGCTTTTTTCAGTGTTTTGTGTTCCACTGTTAAGTCCTTCTCTAACGGCGAAGATTGTCTTCTCTTTGCAGAGTGGGTCTTGGTCAGTGTTAAATTTTTCTTGAACCTTGTGATCCTGGAAAACATAGGATTAAAGAAACCTTCACCCCAACCTTTGTATCTGAAAACTGCAAAGAATCATCCTTCCCATATAACTTATCTAAAACTTACAGATTCCCCACCCCCACCCCTGTTTACCCAGAACAAAAGCAGACAGATCATCCAAATTCCCCTTCATTACCTTATAAATGAGTAACTGAACTGCTGTACCCACGGATCAATCAGGGAAGCAAAATGCTTGTTAATCCAACGTGGCCAAA